GGAGGGGCTCCGCGTGAGCCCCGCCTCCCCAGGGCCCCGAGAGGCAGTACCCCCCGCGCTCCCCCGCCGCGCGCCCTGCGCCTGGGTTAGCTCGCGGGGACCAAGGCCGACCCGTTCCCAGGGGCGCCGAGGCCCTGGCGGAGAGCCTCCTGCTGTGGCCGGACCACTGGGCTTGGCCAGCGGGCCCGGTCCCCGAGAAGGGGAGATCCGGCCCCCAGCGCAGTGCGGCCCGCCACGTCGCCCCCTTCCGCCGCTCAGGGTACGACCCGGGGGCGGGGCCGTGGGGGGAAGGGAGAGTCAGCGACGCGGGGACAGAAGACCAGGAGGGCACGCGCTCCCATGGCGTGTGGGTGAGGAGCCCCCCGGCAGTCCTGGCGCTAGGCCGCCCCAGCTGCCCAAATCCCGACGCACACGAGGAACGGGCCCCAGCCAGGCCGCACGTGTGACAGGCCTGCAGGAGGTTCCACTGGGTCCCCGCCCCAGACCCAGCTCCCGCGGCTTTTCTTCCGTCTGTCCTGTCCTCAGAAGGGCTCCCCTGCGCTGCTCCGTGGTCCTGCCAGTCCTGGCTGTGAGCTGCTCTAGGAGCCCCTGAGGGCAGGCCTCATCCCGGACTCTCCAGGTCCTCTCGGGCCACAGGGTCCATTCGGATGGTGGGCCCCGGCACGTGCAGACTGGGACCCAGTGGTCTGAGAAGCGGGTGATGAATTGTTCCCATTCCCTAAGGACTCTGGGTCATGGAATAACACCTGTGGGTGAAGGGGGGTGCTGGGGGTCCCTATTTGTGGCACAGCACTGACCAGGGCAAAAGCAAAATAGCTCCCTCTTCAAAATTTATAAATTTCAAAACTTCACCTCAAACCTTTTGCAGTGAGAACAGCTACATTTCTGCACGTCTCTCCCTGCGGCCCTGACAGGCAGGAGACGGAAGGCGTGAGCTGGCATGGGCGGCGGGTGAGGAGAGGCTGGCGTACAGCTGCAGCCCCGTCAGGTCACACGTGGACGCCTGGAACCGCGGGGAGGAGCCCAGCTCTTCTGGAGTGCTCAGGCTGCCTGCCTGACCTCTCCAAGGCCCTGGGCTCCTGGGGGGCACCTGTGTTCTGCCTGGGTAGTGGGTCAGGAGTGGTTGACCCTCCGAGAACCCAGCCTGCACCCTCGTGGACGACATGGTGAAGTATCGCCATGCCGAGGGCCCTTCTGTGTTTCGATGGAGAGAGGAGAGCCCGGGGACCCAAAGGGAGGCCATGGTCCTGCTGACGTCTGCGGCATCCTACACACACCGTCAGTGTGGAAGGGAGAGAGCAGGGCGGGGTCCGAACTTCTTCAAAGCCTTACGCTTGACCTGGGCAGGTTACCTCTCCTCGGGACCTTGGCTGTCACACCTGCAGACAAACAGAGCAGCGTCTGCCTCTTCCCCTGTGTCGCGATGACCCAGAAGCCTGGGGATTTGCTGGTGAGCTCCAGTAGGCCCCATTTCCCTTGTCTCCGAAGCCATCAGCCATTCAGTTGCCAATTGCTCTGACTACAGAAACGAGCCAGCCGAGCTGGGAGAGCTGGTGGGCTGGGCGACGGGCTGTGCGGCGGGAGAGGAAGCTGGGTGGAGGGTGCAAACTGAAGGACACTCACCTCATCAAAACCGCAGGGCCCTGGGGACCTGAGTGGCCCAGGAGGGTGGAAGCATCCAGGACAGCGTGGCCCAGAAGGGACCACAGAAGGGGCGAGTCCGTGGACAGCAGGGCCAGGGAGTCGGGGGTGAGTCTGAAGTTACCTCCTCGGGAGGATGACCAGGGTAAACCTGGAATGGCCACTCAGCAGTGGGATCAGCAGTTGAGACCAGCCCGTGGTGAGCTGTGGTGTGGACGGGGAGATTTAAGAGCCTCTTTCTGGGAAGCTGTGTGATAGAGGATGGGGGAGGGGGTTAGGAGCCAGGAGGGCTCTTTAGGGAGGGGCTTGGGGCGTGAAGGCAAAGAGCCAGCCCTGCAGGGGAGGCTGAAACCGCTGTTGTGGCCCCATCTCGGTCCTGAAGGATCCTGGGTCAGGTGAAGGGATGGGCTGGGAGTCGGTTGGGGACTACAGCTGGAGAGGAAGACAGTCACTGCTGAGGCTGAGGGTCCTGAGTGGGTGGGGAAGTCAAGGGCTGTCCCCAGTGGTCTAGACCTGGCCTGGAGTGGTGAAGGCAGGGCTCAGCGCCCCGAGGTGGGTGCCCCACAGAGGAGAGGGCTGGGCTGTGGGCTCCGGACTGGCTGGTCTGCATCTGGAAGGTGCGCTCCCGGAGGAGTAACCCTAAGAGCATCCCTCCAGCGGCAGCAAGGCCTCAAGACGTCAGTGAGTCAGGAAATACAGAAAATAAAAGAACATAGTCAATACGAACACACAGGTGCTTTGCAATTTCAAGCATTGTTTTTTCACCAATAGTTATTCTCTCATTTATTTAGGTCTTCTTTTTAGTTCTTTGATAGTGTTTGAAATTTTTTTCTACACAAAGATTTCACATTTTACCAGATTAATTCCTGGATGTGTTGTAATTTTGCGGTGGTAAAATAAAGGAATCTATTGAAAAATCTAAAAGTTTTTTATTGAAGTGTAGTTGATTTATACTGTTAGATTCAGATGTACAGCAAAGAGATCCAGTTATACATATGCATATATATAATTGTTTTTCTTTTCAGATTCTTTTCCATTGTATGTTATTACAAGAAATGGAATACTATTCCCTGTGCTCTACAGCAGATCCTTGCTGTCTATTTATTTTATGTAGAGTAGTGTGTATCTGTTAATCCCAAACTCCTGTTTGATCCCTCTCCCAACCTTTCCCCCAAGGAATTTTTTTAAAGTCACTCTTTCTAATTGTTTGTGGCTCACGTTAGACGGCGGGGAGGAGGGGCTCTGGAGGATGCTCCGGCCCCAGGGGGACACGGCCCCAGGACGATGCAGCTGAGTGTCGGACCTCAGCACGTGCAGAGAGCAAGCGTCCAGGAGAACCACAGAATCCTGAGAAACAATCGATGGTGTGGTTTTCAGTCACTGGTGGTGGCACAGTCTGGTAGGTATCAACAGCGTCTTTCAAAAAGGATGTTTTAAATTTTGATGAAGTCCAGTTTATCAATGTATTTCTCTTATGAATCATGCTTTTTATATCCTGTTTTGGAAGTATTTACCTACACCAAGGTCATTAAGATTTTCTCATTTCCTAAGTCAGACGGAGAAAGACCAATACTGCGTGACATCACGCACTTGCAGAATCTAAAAAATGCAACACAGCTAGTGACTATAACAAAAAGTAAACAGTCTCACGGTAGAGAACAAACTGATGGTTACCAGTTGTGGGGGGCGGTGTAGGCGTAGGGGGTTAAGAGGTACAAGCCACGATGTACAAAATAAATAAGCCAAGGATATATTGTGCAGCACGGGGACTGCGGCCAGTATTTTATAGTAACGGTAAATGGGGTAGAACCTTTGAAAACTGAATTACTGCACGGGACACCTGTACTTTGTATAATATTGGACATCAGCGGTACTTCAGTAAAAAATAATGAGTAAAACAAAAAAGATTTCCTGATTTCAGAAGTTGTATAGTTTTAGCTTTCACATTACAGGTCTGCATTCCATTTCAAGCTAACGCTTGGGGGGGCCTGGAGTGAGGATGGAGGCTGCATGTCCGGCACCGTTTGTCAGTGTGAACATCCTTGCCCTGTTGACTTCCCTCGACAGCTCTGTGACATGCACATGTGGGTCGGTCTCTGGACCCTGCATTCTGACACCCGTGCTGGTATCACACCGCCCTGATTACTGACGCTTTAGGTTAAGCCTTGAAATTAGATAATGTGAGTCCTCCAAGTGTTCCTCTGCCAAAACTGCTTTGACCCACCTGGAGCCTTTCGCTTCCCATATAAACTTCAGAATGAATTTGTTAGTATCCCAGAAACACTTGTTGGGATTTCTCATGAGATTGTGTTGAATCTGCTGGTCGGTTTGGGAAGATCAACCTCTTGGTAACGCGGTTGCCCGTCCCCGAGTGTGGTGCGCATCGCGTTGATCTAGGTTGTCTTTCATTTTCTCAGCAGCGTTTCATCACTCTTGCTTATCATCTGCAGGTCTCACCTCTGCTTGTCTAATGCTGCCCTTCATTGTATTGTTTTGATGCTGTTGTAAACGAGATTGTTTCTATTTCAGTTTCCAGAGTCTGTTGCTAGTGTCCAGAAGCACAGCTGAATTCCGTTATGTTTGCGGTGTGTGCTTCGCCCTTGCTAAGTTCATGCATTAATCCTGTAGCATGTTTGTAGATTCCTTAGGACTCTCCCCACTCACAGCCACGCTACCTGGGGAGGAAAACGGTTTTATTTTTCCTCCTCATCACGTGTGCCTTCATGGCTGTTATCTCCTTGCACTGACTGACACCCGCTACCCAGTGCTGATCAGAGTGGTGCCTCGTTACCAATTTAAGGGGAAAACTTCGGTCTGGACGTTAGCTGTGCATTTTCAGAGGCACATTTAGTAAAGTGGGGGACGTTGCCTTCTGTTCCCGGTTTGCTGAGAGTTCTTGTCGTTCTGTCAAAGCTCTGTCGTATGGTTCTTCTCCTTCATTCAGTTAATATGCTGGATTAAATTGGTTGATGTTCCAACCTTAAACCAACCTTGTTTTTCTGGATGAGCCCCAACTTGAGCACATAGAATTGTATTTGTTTTTAGCTATGTCTTTTGTGATTGTTTTTAAAGCTATCATTTAAAAATGAATCCTGCTTTTTAGTGTCATATCTAAAGAATCCTGCTTAACCCAAGGTCACAAATACTTTCACCTATTCTCTTCAAAAACTTTTATAATTTTATATTGTACATTTAAGTATATAATCCTTCCTGAGCTATTTTTATATGATATTATACATATACATACATATATACATATAATATATATATGGTTTTAAAAATTTTTTGCACGTGGCATCTGTGGTTCCGTACCATTTATGGTAAACACTACCGTTTCCCCACGGAATTGCACGTGCACCTTTGTCAGGAGCCAGCTGACCGCATGCACGTGCTTCTGTTGCTGGGCGGTCTGTCCGCCCGTTGATCTATTTATCCGTTTCAGCGCCCAGCCCGCCCCGCCTTGATCGCGGGAGCCTCACAACACGTCTTGAGGTTGCTCAGTGCTGGTCCTCAGGCCTGGTTTTCCTTTTTGAAAGTCAGTCCAGTTGTCCCAGGTCCTTTCCATCTTCCACGTGAATCTTAGAACCAGCCGTGACTTTCCACAGAAGACCCTTCTGTCATTCTGAGTGGGACTGTGTTGCTCGGGATTACGGGTCACTTTGGGAGAAGTGACACCTGAGCAACATCGAGCCTTGTGGTCCTTCGGTGTGCGTGAGTCGCAGCTTGTTCACATTTTCTTCGCTCCCCTCGGCTCTCGGAGTGGAGACCTCGACCGCCTCCTGTCGGGTTCACCACAGCGTGTTGAGTTTTTGGTGCTGCTGCACAGGACACGTGAGACGTCCGTTCTGATCGTTCATTGCTCGTGTGGAGGAGGGCACCTTACTTCTCGTGCAGATCTCATGTCGTGAACTGACTAGGCTCACTTGTGAGTTCTCTCTCTTGAGCTCCGTGTCTTCTAGGCAGGAGACCGTGCTCTCTGCAAATAAAGGCATTTCACTCCTCCCGTTCTCATGTTCTGACTTGGATCCCTTTACTTCTCTTACTGGCTGGAACCCTGCGTGAACTGTTGGACAGAAGTGGTGACAGTGGACAGCCCTGTGTTTCCCACTTGGGCAAAGTGCGTTATGCTTTTCCTTACGCTGCTGGAGGCTGTGTGCAGACACTTTAAATGGTGACGTGCCTGTGTATTCGAGCAGGCGCAGTGTCCTCTCCTGCAGCGTCCACGTCTGGCTTCGGTGCCAGCACAGCGCCGGCCTTTAGGAAGGGCTGTTTAGTTCTTCCGGAGTTTCTGGGCGAGTTTGCGTGGCGCCGGCATCACCTCTTCCTCAGATGTTTGGTGGGGGTTCCCATGAAGCCAGCTGGTGTCGTTGTCTTTCTGGAGCCCTTTTAATTCAAATTCAGATTCTTTAATAATCAGAGCGCAGTGCCCGTGGGCCTTTAATCGCCCTTTTCTTCCTCCTAGAGGGACGCAAGGCTCACTCTGACTCAGGAGGATCTCACCTCGAGCTTTTACCTTAGTTTCACCTGCAAAGACCTGTTTCCAAATAAGGTCACATCCGCAGGTCCTGGGGAGCGGGACTTGGGCACGTCTCTTTTGGGGGGACACCGACCAGCCCACTGCAGCCAGCTAATCTTGGGCAATTTTGGCAAAATCCATGACTAGATGTTAAAGATAAAAGGCAGTGTGTGTCGGCTCCACGTGACCCCTCTGTCCACGGCATCACTCTGTTGAGATCAGAGCTCAGGGCTCCCTTCCTCATGGGCTGGGGGTTACCACCTCCGTGGAAGCGGCTCAGCCAAGGTGCCCTCTTCCAAAAGCAGCCTAGTGAGTCTGCAAAGGACGGCTCAGGAACCCTCACGATTCCACCAGCTCTGGGGAGCGAGTTTGCCCGCGGGCCGGCAGCCCCTCTTGCCCTCAGGCTTTGTCTCACTGCAAGTTCCCCACCGTCCTCATTACATTTGCTCGACAGGCCCTTTAGGGCAGTTTCCATACACATCTGGCCTTAAGATGCCCAAGCAACCAGTTTGCTGCAGACTGTCCCAGTCCTCAGCGTCTTCTCCAAAACTGCCCAAGCCTGGCCGATCGAGCACCTGCAGGCATCTGCTGGGAGCCCCCGGGAGGGAGGCGTCCAGCTGCAGTGCTCCCGGCGAGCCGGGGGACAGGGCCGCTGGGCCCGAGTTCTGCCCCAGGACCCCCCACCCCTGTGCAGGGAACAACTGCCAACGCGGCAGAGGTGACGGTGCAGGCGAATGAGTTTCTAAGACCGTGAAGTATTCCCTGCTGTGCTTTCGTATTCAACTCAGCACTGCTGCAGGTTGGACAAAAGGAAGAAAATATTGCCTATTTGGGGACTTCAACGTGTCGAAACACAACATCGATGCAGGTCAACCAGCTAAAAGCCAGTGCACACACCTGCGGGGTGGGTCCTGTGCACAGGAGAGTCACTTCCTCTGCAGTCAGTTTGGTTTCAAGGTGCACACCCAATACAGAAACCCAGGGAAGCACTGCGGTATAGACTAAGGAATGTACACTGATGGCTCCTTGAAACAAAGCTGACACGGACACCTCAGTGTCCCCGAGCGCCCAGCGGAAGTCCTGTTTCTCCGTCTGAGTGAGGGTGAACGTGGCTTCTGGCTGGAGGGCCTTCCAGAGCCTTCCCTTCTCCCCAGGCCAGCAGAGGCCGGGGCACTGGCCATGAAAGTGTCTGTTGCAGGCGTCCAGCTCCATCCAGCGTCCTGGCCCTTGGGGCGTCGTTGCCGAGCCGGCTGCCCGGGAGCTGGTGACCCGGCCAACGTCTCTCCCAGCCTGGGTCGGTTTGGTGCCCTCAGCACAGGCTTTTCTCTGGCGACCCCACGTGGGCCCAGAACTGGCCAGAAGTGGCAGTGTTGTGTGCCCAGGGCAGCAGAAGGTGGCCTTCTCTGGATGGTGGGCACCACAGCACCCGTCTCCCCCGAGAGCTGGAGCAGGACAAGCCCTGAGCCCAGTGCCCTCAGACCCCTCTCCCTCCTGTGGCCACCTGGGCTCTGCGTGGCGCCGGGGTCCTTGTCTGTCAGCATCTGGACGCTCAAGGGCATCTCGCTGCTGCCCTCGCCCCTCCTCAGAGCCTTTCTCCTTGGGCTTCCTGGGGCCGGGAGTCTCCTGCCACCTTCCTGGCCTTGGCGGGTGACGCCTGCTCCCTCATCCACCCCTGACGGCACCTTCCCCAGGCTCCCCCTCCCCTCCAGGCCTCTTGTTCCCTCCCTCCCTCCCCTCCTCCTCACTCCGGCGATATAGGGCCATTTTACAGACAGAAAAATTGAGACACAAGAAACAGTGGCCGAGATCCTAGTCAGGACTGTGAAGGCTGCGGCCGTGACTCTCATGGGCTTTGCCCTCTGCTCGTGTGTCAGGACGGACGGTGCCCTGCGGTCACTCACGACTGCAGGCTGCCTTCTCGACAGAGGTCTTAGTTTTACAGAGTTTGGACTCGGATTTCAGATAAAACCGTCTTCCTCAAAGACACAGACGTTTGACATCAAGTAAGGACCCAGAGACTTGACATTATTTTATATTTTATTTGTAATTTTTGACTCATTTACTTTTCGATGATCATTTAATGTCACCCTCACCACACAAGTGTGTGACGCCGACAGCGTGCCAGCGATCCACGCCACTGTCCTGGAGACGCAGGTTTAAGGGGCCCCTGGGGATTTAAAGTCTCATCATCCAGGCGGCGCCTCCCTTAGCAGTGTCACCTGTCCCACCTTCCTTGGCAGGAAGACGGTGGTCCTCGGCGTGGAGCACAGTCTGAGACGCTGCTCATTTCAGGGGGCCTCTGGGCAAACCAAACCGACTTGGAAACTCAGAGGCACAGCTCCTTCACATGCTGGGTTTGCAGAGCAAGTGTTTGCATGTAATTTTGCTTCCTAAAATGTCCCCCCAAAAGCACACATATGAAAACATATTCTCAAAACTGTGCTGTCTTATGAAAAAAAATTGCTCACAGTAACTCATTCCAGTTGACTTTGAGAAATAGTGTGTTGAATTATTTTCAACAAATTTACAAAGAAAAATCTCACTTTTCAAAGGAAAGGTATGTTCCTGAAGGAGGAGATTGACGATGAGGAGGGGACAGAGGCCAGGCCACATCCTTCCTCACCTCCTTAGTGACAGAACATGTACATCTCAGAAGGAAGTATTGTCACCCGGGATAAAGATGGCATTTCCCAGCCTACCTGCCAGTTAGCTGTACTCATGTGACTCAGTTTGGAGCCAGATGGGACACAAGCACAAGATTTGTGGGACTTCTGGGAAGCACCCTTAAGGAGAGGGTGCTTTCCTAATGGCTGGTAGGTGAATGTAATGGCTGGAGCTACAGCATCCATCTTGGGCCGTGAAACAACTTTCGGAGTGGAAGGCGTGCTACCAGAGCAACCAGAGAGATGGAGCCTGGGTTCCGGACCTCGTGGAGCGTGGACGGTGCCCCCAAACCTGGGGCTGCCACTGGCCTTCATGACTGGGAAGAAGTGAGCTTCTAGCTTCAAGTTGTTGCCACTTTGGATCTTTCTGCAACTTGCAAGTGAACTTAGTCCGGATGAAAGAACAGGCCACTAGGGATGCTTGGACTGAAAAAGCAAAGCTCGGGAAGATGTGGTTTTGATCCTTTGATGTCAGACTAGATTTCGGCACTGGCCGCTGTGTATTGAGATAGACTGCAGAGCCCTTTGAGGTCCCTCTGGCCGTCCCTGCCTCCTGCTTCCTCTCTCAGCCCCGAGCCATCCTCGCCTCAGTTTCCGCAGGGCTCCTGGCCCGGCCCCCTCACCCCTTCCCACACCGCCTCACTCCCCAAAGCCCCCGCTGTCCCTTCAGGAGGGGCCCCCGCCCTTAGTGCTCTGACGCCCGGGACTTTTTTATTCATTGCAAAGCCCGAGAACGTTGTAAGGCACCAGGAGACGTTTCTCAAAAGTGTCACCTTTGCTCTAAGCTCTGGGGACATTTTGGTTGTATCATATCATTGTCTGAAAAAAAAGAGAGAAGAGACTCATTTGGAGAACTCACACGTTCCCAGACGGCGTAGTGGCACAGATCTTCCCGCTCGCGGTCTGACGAGCCTCCATGCGGCCAGGGCCAGGGTGCTCGGGGTGGGGATGGGGTTCTGCCTCCAGCTGGGGGAGGACCCTGCACTGTCACAGGTGGGCCCAGCAGGTGCGTGTGGGGAGGGACCTGCTGGAAAGACCCAGAAGCTGGAAGAAGGAAGCGGTAACTCCCGCTGGAAGGTCAGGAAGGTGTCTGAGGAGGAGAGGGCATTTGAGAAGGTCTGAAAGGGGTCCAGGAGGAAAGCAGGGAGAGGAGCTGAGAACACCGCTCCCTCCAGTGGAGGCCTGTCTTGTGAGGCCCAGAGCCAGGCCCACCGGGGTCGGCTGGGGTTGGGGTTGATGTGAGTCCCCCGCCCCCTTGCCTCCCACTGGGATGTGATTGCTGGGCACCGGGTCTTCGGCGAGGACTCTTACGCTCGAGGGCAGCGTCGCAGCCCTCACTCAGCCCGGAGCTGAGGGGCAGCGCGGATGGGCAAGCTGTGCAGTGGGGCCGTGGGCAGCCCTGGGTCCGCTGCTCGCAGCCTGTGCCTGCACGCACGCCCGTACCTCGCGCAGAGCTGCCCCGCACGCACGGCTGCACGCACGCCTGCCCTCCTCACGCCCCTCCCCTCCGTGCATGGACGTCGGCGGTGGCCGCCCAGGGCTTCACTCGGTACAAGTGGTTCTTGCTTCAGCAAACAGGGATGATACCCGGCGTGGAAGCGCTTGGTCTCCGGGAGCAGGTGCAGGGAACCACCTGACGCCCCAGCTTCAGGGCACCGGTTGCGACAGGACCCTTGTGCACATTTTCAGTCCTTAAGTTGATAAGGCTGAGAACTCGCGTTGGGTCAGACGTCTTTTACAAGCCACTTGACCTTAAAGACTCGATAAAGAGGGCGTATCCGGTGAAACAGGAGAGGAGAGCAGCCCCGGTGCTTGAGGAAGGACCGCGAGGCGGAACTGGG